GGGATTTAGCTCAGTGGTTTTGCCACCTGCTACGCAAGAGCAAGGACCTGAGTTCGATACCCGGTACCAAAAAAAAAAAAAAATACAACTTCCGCTTACTTCTGTGTGAAGGGAAGTCTGTTAATATTCACTGCTCGTGTTGTTTTCCACTAATTGGGAGTGTTATAATTTGTTAAGGATATGATGTGGACAGTGGATGAACAGCTTTATAATTGTTAGCCTTCTAGATATCTAGGACTCAAGTTTGCCTGAGATTCATGTCCTGAGTCTCACACTGACCAGTCCTGCAGCCTTAGGTAAAACAGCTGGCCTTCTCAGCTCTACCCTACTCAAAGGTGAGGATAACTCCATGTAAAGTTTTTACTGCAGTGTTTTCTTATACTTTAGTGTTTTCTTATACTTTGGTGTTTATCTCACCAAATGTGCTACATACGTATTTATTACTTTTGTTACTTTAAACATAAGCTAATGAGAAAAAAATTAAATTTGACTTCAAAGACATTATTGCCAAATCATGCAAAATTATCTTTTTCAAAATATTCCTCTGGGGCCGGGGATGTTGTTCAACGTGTGCTTAGGGTTCAATCCATAACACCAAAAAGAAAGAAAGATCGTCAAAGCAAGGCATTTAAACCTTACTTGCTAATAAGGAAAGACACAAACATCACCGCACTTTAGAAGCAGCCCAACTAAAACACAGTGTATGCCTGATGTTTCTCTACTGATGAGTACGAAGTTCTTCACATTCATACGGGAAAGTTTACCAGGTTGGATAAAAGAACATTCATTTTTCCATTCTTTCTTCTCCAGCTTTATTAACTACATTTTCCAAGAAAATTTAATGACTGCTTTTCCATGATGAATTTCTGGCATATCCACAATGTTGATAACAAAATGTGCAGAGATACAGACACTGCCATTGTAACATAAAGACATGAAAGATCAAATTAGTACACGTTTGTTTAAGGAAATCATCTTTATAGTTGTTTAAACAAGCAAGAAATATTTAAATGATCTACTTAAAAATTATCACCAATGATGTTTTAAAGATATTTTATTAGTGTAAGTTACAAATTATAATGCAAATTTCAGGAATGTTTAAAACAGATTATATTTCAAAGCAGGTACGGTGTCCACACCCCTGTAACCCCAGCACTCTGGGAGGCTGAAGGAAGAGGATCGAGAGTTCAAGCCCAGCCTGGACAACTTAGCAGGACTCTGTCTCAAAATCTAAAAATTAAAAATGGGCTGGAGATGTAGCTCAGTGCAGTGCTTGGGTTCAATTCCCAGTACCACAAAAAAAAAGATTGTATTTCAGAATCAGGATTATATGACAAACTAACGTACAAGAGATTACACAATAAAAAGAACAAGTATTTTACATCTCTGTGAACTTTTTAGACACGGCTTCATTAACTATAGAAGTTCACATATTGGTAATTTGTTTATTCAGAAATATCACTCTTCAAAAAGAATGTTTTCTTGAAGTTATCACTTAATCACACTAGAGTTCACTAAGGTCACTAATTCTTCTTACTGTAAAACAAAGAATAAAGTGCAAGTCCACA